TTGACTGTACATAATACTTTTTCTTTTTTGTATTTTTCAGTATGATTTTCACAACTGACTTAAAATTGATATTTCATCAAGTTTGAGTCGTTCTAGTTATAATCTAGGCTAATAAACGGTTGGAAAAAAGGACACTTATCTACTGTATAATACATAGGGCTAGGACTGTATTATACATAGGGCTAGGTCCATACGATGTTTTCATTTGTACTGTAGGTTCTTTTTTTTTTTTTTTGCTAGTAGGCCTAGTAATAACGGCGCCTCGCCCCAAATTTCCATCCAATCTGAATGGACATCAACATTTTATTTTTAGAGCAGGCCTAGGCCTTATAATTCTTTTTGAACTTCAATTTACTTATTGCAAAGTTGAACATAATTTTAACCTATTATACATGAGCTATGGTTTTCAGTTGCTTAAAATCCAAAACAATGACTTAATAGTTGAACCAAAATAAGATCCGCATCTCTTTGATGTTTTACCGCGCTAATTATCGGGTCCAGCAAAGACGAAATGTGAATCTGGGTTGTTGTGGTACTGTAGCCAATGAGCATTACAATTCACTGTCCACTGATAATGATATAGCCAATGCCAGAACAGAGTAAACTATTCAATTGTGGGCCGGTACTAGACTATTTTCTTTTAATTAATGCTTTTGTTTTTCAGTTTATTTTTCATTTTTCAAAATTTGTTTGAACTTTGGCCTTTGTATTTTTAAAATGTTTAATTAAGTAAGGCAGGGGTAATTAGGACATTTATTTAAGCATTTCCTAATGTATATTTCACTGGATTAACTTATTGTTTATTTCATTTCATGAGACTTTCATCCAGCTAGCATTCCCAGGCTTTTCATACATTTGTTGTTCATTCGTAAAAAAAGAAGTGATCTACTTTATGTAAGACACACCTCATCCTAATTACCTCATTTTGATTGGCTAGCTTTTTGTTTGACGAGATTTTCTCATCAGTATTCTTGATAATGATAAAATAGATTGAAACGTTAAATCTCAAAATTTCTCCCTCTCCGAGTTTTCCGTCTTTGTTTTATTTAAGACTATTAGTAGATCCTCTGGTTTAAGAATGTTTCCTTCCTCAACATTTCAACATGTAATTTATCTTGTACGCACATTAATGGTGATGCAAAATAAAAGAAAAAAGAAACAAAATGACTATAACGGGCCTATGATTTTCGATTATACTTTTCTGTAGTGTGTTCTTAATAATATGATAGACCTCATCATGTTAAATGCAATTGACAGAATTAACCATTATTGCTCGTTTAACTGCCTGTTAATTTGAATTTACAGAGTATTCTTCTTTTTAACTTCTGTCTACTACTTTTTCTGTTACCGTAGTCCAATTCAGAATTAAAATTTTAAAAAGTGAGATCAAAATAAATTTAACAGTATAAGCCTAACTGATGACTTGCGGATTAAAACATCAGGATCAACATTACCAAGAATTGCATCTCTTTGATATTTTACCGCGCTAATTATCGGGTCCAGCAAAGTCATGGTTAATTCGGCGGTACTGTCCGACAAAGTCACAACAGCAAGATACCGAGATAAACAATTCTAAGTTCCCCACTGGTAGCACACTATTTTCTTATTGTTTTTGTCCAATCCGTGTACAGTACGTAGCAATGTGTACGGGAATGGGTGTATGGGCGTGGGTCTGGCAAACATTAAAAACTTCAGTGAACTTCATTTTCAAGAAAAAAATGCCTTCCTCTGCAGAAGTAAAATTGATGGAGACAGTTCAATATACAGGTGTTTATATGACAAACATGTTGCCGCACACAAACATGGAAAGAGAGAGAAAAAGAATGCCTGGGAAGCCGTGGCTAAAGAAATGGAGCTGAGCGTCGAAGAATGCCAGCGTCTTTATAATGTCAGGCGAACAGCATTTGCAAGGTAACAGTTACTTTTTTTTAAATATTTATATGGTGTTTATAAGAAAAATAAATAAAAATCGCTCATCTCTATCCAAGTGGAATAAAATATGGTGAAATAGGAAAGTCCAGCAAAACGGTTGATTCGAACTTTACAGTATGTTGGAGTTCAAATCCCTCTTTAATGCTTTTTAATACCATATTATTGTTATAGTCAGTTATTGTATTTTCTTATTATCATTAGTAAAATTACTATTATTATTCGGAAAACAGTTGTATAAATTAAAGATATTTGCTGATATAGTATACAGATGTATATCTTCCTGCCAACAAAAACAATTTAATTGATGTAATTCAAATAGTACTGTACTGTATATTTAAATATTATTTTATGCAATGTACTGTAGACACCTCAAGAAAGTCCGCTCTACGGTTCGTAGTGGGGTCGGTAGGGATGACTTGCTACCGATTGCAGCAGAGTGGCAACATATGCGATGGCTGATTTGGAGGAGGCACGGCCTGAAGATGAATGTCTGCGCCTGCTCAACGAAACCCAGCAGGTAGACATCATGGTTGAGCCGGACACAGAAGGTAAATCATTTTTGCATCAGGCTCGTTATTACCAGTAATAATTGAATATAATTCAATAATAATCGTATAACAGATTATATATAAAAAAAAATTCACAGTAATACTTAATATTAATAAATTTATTTGTACAAACTACACTTCCATTCTTATTTCAGGCTTCGTAAGAAAAAAAAAAACTTGCTATGTTGCTATGTTTAAAATTTATTTTTCTAAGGCATTATGGTTTCTAAATATTTAATAGCTGAGGAGGAAGGGAGTGTTTGTTATTCTCCCAACAGAAAATAGTAGCTAATTTGAATCTAAATAGTAAAATACTAAATAATCTGTATCTTATCAACCATTCTCATGTTCAGTTGTACACCATGACATTTTATAAAGTGTTTCTTCTCGGGCCTGGATTCAACCAAAGGATTATTTCCTTATCACTTCTGTCAATATTATATTGTATTTACATATTTTTATATTAATTTTGGTTTATACATCACTTTACTGTTTTTATGGGTTTTTTCTGTAATAATAATATAATAGTAATTTGGATTTTTACATCGGGTGTATCCAACACAAAACTAAAAGAACAATTACTTATTGCAAGCCACATCAAATTAAAAACTTAAAACCAGCTCAAAACAGTGTAAATTAATCCGTTCTTTTTTCCCCTCCCTGGCAATTTTACCATTCTCTCTTCTCTTCTGCAGAAATGCAAATATCCCTTTCCCTTTAAGACAATATAAAACTAACATCAAAAGTAACATCAAGACAAAAAAAAATACTGTACAAAATAAGTGGTAAATGGATATGTACTGTATAGCTACAGCATTTTAAAAATTAATGAAAAAAAATATATATATATTTAATTACTGATAATATTCCATTTAAAAAAGCCAATCATTTAAAAGCATCAGTGCCTGGGTTTATGATGCCAGAGGGCCACAGTTACGTACGTACAACATCAAGCTGCCAAGCAACAGCGCCTTCGGCACTACTAAAATAGTCCTTGAATTTATCCCTTGTTTCCCTTGCACTCGCTTTATAATTGTTCGACCCCACTCTTCTCACATTTTGAAGACCAGTTTCATCTTCTCCTACAATAGTACGCCATTCCCCCTCCTTAAATTAGGCATTATTGTAGCTGTCCACAAATCCGTTTGGCAGGTAATGAGCGTTGTCTGTTTGCATGAGGAAGTTGTGAAGACAAACTACAGCCTTTACAACCCTGTCAACAGTGTCAATATTAGCCCGGATTGGTCTTCTAAAAATACGCCACCTGGCAGCCATCACTCCAAACGTATTTTCTATCGTCCTCCGCCCTCGCGATATTCTATAATTCGCCACTTCCTCTTCCTCTGTTAGTTTAGTACCCCATATGGTTTCACAAGCCAAGTCTTTAAGGGAAAAATGTCATCTCCCATAAGTACATAAGGGAGAGTATATCCATTCACATCTGATGGCATTGGTACCTTTAAAACTCCCATATCAGCCTGCTTAAAAAAGGAAGACTGGCCAAAAATTGAGGCATCATTGTCCTGTCCATACGACCCAACGCTCACCCATATAAAGGAGTACTTCGCATTACAGATGCCCATTAGGACTGAACTGTGAAAGCCCTTGTAGTTGTAGTACATAGAACCTCCAAATTTTAGGCACTCGATAGCGACATGCTTTCCATCCACAGCACCAATAGTGTGAGGGATATCCCACTCCTCTTTAAACTGCCTTGCAATTTCCAGCCAATCCTGCTCACTCGATGGCATCCTGAGATATTTGGGGCTCAGTGCTGTCCAAATAGTATGTTGGAAACTGTTGCACGGCCAATTCTAAAATTAAAAGATTGTGAAGCCATACTGTCCCCTGTTGCCAGGTACCGCAAAGTCACCACAAATCGCTCCTCTGCTGAGATATCAATTCGACCTCTCTGTTTCTTCTTTCCTTTAGATGAGGCTCAACCATTGATACGAGTTGATGAAACCTTTCGGGTGTCATTCTTATATATCTAAAAAAAGTAAAAAAAAAAGAGGATCTAATTTAATAATTATACAAATATAATTTTATTGTTAATATATATATATATATATCTTAATTTTCAGCACAAGACATGGTGGATGAGGGCTTCTTTTTCACAGGTAAAAAATTACATTAATGCTAATAGTATACAGTAGTGCAGGACTGCTAATATCATTGCATAACATGGTTCACACATTTTCATATTATAGTACTGTACACCACACCTTTGTTTCTTATTTATGTCAATGAAAATCAATCTTATTATCAACCATCGAAAATTGCCGATTGCCGAAATGTGTACTAAACTCAAAGAAAATTTATGGAATTTGTGGAAAGATTAGTTTATGTACATTAAATGAAGAAAAAAGCCAACCTAAATATTTAAAAAAAAAATGTTTTTGTTGATAAAAATTGTATAGAGGAAGAGCACATAGATACAGAATTGGATGATCCAACAGACGAAGACAAAAACGATTCTTATCCGAGCTTAAATGATGATGACGACAATGTTGCCAGCAGCAGTCAAGTCAATGATGATGAAAATGACAATAGCCAGGAGGCCATTAATCCACCTGATTTCCAAGAAACGAATCAGATTAAAGATACCGCAGGTAAATTACCAAAATTTACATTAAAAGTGCTTTGGGAGTAATAAAATTCAGAAATATTGTGCAAGTAAATTAAGAGCTGTATTATTTTTATGTCTTTTATATTACAAAATCATTCAAATTTTTCAATTAAAAGGTATTGCAGTATAATCAGTTATTATAGCATATATTACTTTTTTGAACTTAATTAATTATATTGAGTATTTTTTGAAATGTTACATGTTAAAAGCACTGCCTCAAATTTAATTCCTTCATGTTTTCATTTAATTGTTATAGGCGAAACCTTTTCTATTGTAATAAAACATACTGTATGTAAATATGAATGTGACTTTGTGAAATAAATTGTATAATTTTATTGAATTACTTTTATGGTATTACATTCTTACAACCTTAATTTATTTGTTGGAATTTTTTTTAATTATAGAAACATCCAAGAAGAGGATGGCAGACAAACAAAATCGTAAGTACAGTATATTTTAAACTACAGTACACTTGGGTTACTTTAGGCAGCCACACAAATATATACCAGTTTAGAATTTAGTTTTCATTTTTCATTTACAGGTTGCAACAAATTTGTCACAATCACCATTAGCAGGACCATTATCGTTGATAGGTGATATACCATCAGTGACCAAATAGGCACTGTGACGCAGGGTTTTAGGCTGGCTAAAAACAATATTTAGCAATTTGGCTAATCCAGTATGATTTGGCTAATCCAGTATGATTAGCCAAATGGAAACAAAAGAATATAAGAATTGTTAAAATGTATTTCAATTGATTTAGCTTTTATTAGGATTTTGCTATTTGGATAACAACAGCTTAAATACACTGGGCGCTAATATTCTTAACAGCTGAAATTTGCTAAATGATTTTATTCAGGTTAGCAAAATCGTTAAAGATTTTTGGGCTGTATAACTGTTCAAAGCTTGTTTTACATAATCAATTACCCAATTTAATAATTTGGCTTGCTCAAACCCTGAACATCATTTAGTGCATAAAATACATAGAAATAAAATATCTATGTCACTACAGCTTGTTATAGTATAATTTTTTTATTTTCAGCAGCTATTAGGAAGGCATGGACAAAAAAAGCAAAGAAGAATGTCCCAGAAAAGGCAAATGTAAGAATTATATACAGTATACTATATATCTTTAATTTAATTAACTGGTTCTTTTTCTTGAAGATAAACTTTGCATAATAAATGTATTAGATTTTAAATGCTGTAAAAAATTATTAAGGGCTTTAAACAAATTTATTATTTTCATATACCGTTCATATTATTCACTGGGTAAGAAAAATACATCTTTGAACTTGGTTGTACCTGTATGTTACTGTATGATAAAAATTATCAATAAACTATTTTGCGACAAAGATTAGTAAAATTAGTAATAGGTTGTGTTTCATGTTTTATAATCATAATGACTTCTATCTCACAGAATGAAGAAATTGACAAAGAACTAATTGAATTTATAAAGAGCCCGATTGCTGTTGATGATGAAGAATTGACTTTTGCCCGAGTGATTGCAAATAAGATGCAGAAATTGAAAGAAGAGGACAGAGGTGACATGGAACTGAAAATACTAATGTTATTTAATGATTACAACAAGAAACAATAGATGTTTTGTAGCCCTAAGTACGCTGCAACATAATATTGAAATATTATGATTGATTGAAGTCAGTTTGAGATTTGTTATGATTTATTGTCCGATGGAATCAATAAAACATAGAAAAACATAAATCAATTATAATCATTATAGTAATGAAAGACATTAAAAAAAAAACAACTTAGCACCATTAAATAAGTTTTATGATTACTAAAAATGGGCAATTCAAATTTCAACTTTTGTTTTAATTTATTCCATCGGACGATAAACTGAAAAAGAAAAAAGTATTTTTAAAGTTGCATGTTATCCTTTTGTTTTTCCCCCCCCAATTTTATAATGCTACTAACAATCTTGTGTTTGGTGCTAAAACATGTAGAGTTAAAAATGCAATCTATATGGTGCTGTTTCCTCATATTTTTCTTTTTGTTTTTTTTCATTCTAGTCTGTTACTGAGCAACATGCTGTAAAGCACTGGTAAAACATTTATGCTATGTTCCACGTAAATAATTTAGGTGATCATTAAAATTCTGCAAAAAACACATAGAGGGTGGGGAGGGGGGCTGGAAGTCTTACAGTATGTACACTGCAACATGATATTGAAATATTATATGATTGATTTAAGTCAGTTTGCCCTTTTTAATGATCTATTGTTCAATGGCATCCATAAAACATAGAAAAACAAAAAAAATTCTAGGTAACTTAAATCATGAGTAATGAACTACACTGGAAAAAAGTTAGTCGCATTTAATAAATTTCATGATACTAAAAATGGACAAGTCAAATTAAAACTCTTGTTTTACTTCATTCCATTGGACAATTAACTGTAAAAAAAAGTATGATTAACTTTAAAATTGCATGTTATCCTTTTTTATTTTCCCCTGATTTTATGATGCTAACACTCTTTCTTTATTGTTTGGTGCTAAAAGGCGAGACTTTTTTTATACCTTGTTTAGCGAACCTGCTGAATGCAAATATTGATGATTTTGATTAAAAGTACAATTTTATTTTTGGCCAATTAGTGCACCTGCTGCCACTAAAAATAGAAATTTCAGAAAAAAATTAATTTAAAAGAAATGTTTATTGCACCCTCTGCTGCCTTGAAATCTCCAAAGATAAAATATGTATATTTCTTCCTAATTATATAAATTTGAAGCATTTAACCATCCCATTTTACATTCACCAATAAAATTTTGTTTTTATTTTCTCCTCCGTCTGGATGTTTTTGGCAAATCTATTTGCTAAATAAGAAAACAATTTTCTTTTTATTCCGCCCTCCTCTGATGGCCTTTAAAAAAATAAGTACGCAAAACAAGGAATAAAAAGTCTCGCTTAAGAATGCAATCTATGGAGCTCTTTCCCCACTATAATTTTAATACTGTCCTGTCCTTCAAAAACTTTTAAGGAATCGCTCCCAATTTTTTTAAATCATTCTAGTTTTATGTATTGAGCAACATGTTTTATAGCACCAGATAAATATTTAGGCTATGTTCCATGTAAATAATTTAGGTGATCATTAAAATACATAAAGGGGTTTGGGAGGAAACCGTGTCAATGACAGTAACTATTTTCCTATGTTTAAGTAGCTTTTATTCTTGTGTGGCGACAATTTGTTTAACAGGTTTGAGACCTTTATAGTGAGTAGATGATGTTTATGTAGCCAATAAATTATTTTTTTCAAAAAAAATACTGACACAATGACTACATTTTTTTTGTGTGTTCTCAACTTAATGAACTTTAAAATTGGCAGCCTTAAAATAAAAAAAATGCACAAAACTGACAGATCTGGACCCTATCAACAAGCTGGCAGCAGAATTTGGCCTAGGCCTTTCCTACAGTCCTTACTAAAACAACATAGAATGATGTGCAACCACACAGATGCAGAAATTACTTTAAAAAATTATCACAAAATAGCAGAAAATAGAAATAGCAAAATAGCTTCTTCATGAAACATAGCATGCAATACCACAAAATACATTGATTTTAACTGAATTTGGACAATTACGAATAAATGTTTATTGATTAAATAATCACTTTTATACTCTAAACTAGTGACGTGTGTGTTAAATATTTGAGTCTGTGGTGGACTAGCCTAAAATTACATATAGGGCATACACCCTCCTTAACCACACCCACCCACAAGCCAATTAATGACTGAATTATTATTAGATGTAGACCTCTATTTAGTACCAGTTCTAAAATGGAGCACGACCGAAAGGATCTCTTTTCTAGGCCTAGCCTATAGGCTAAATAATGCTAGGCCGGCACAAGCTACTAATAATTAGAATTCCTGCTACAGGCCTAGGCCACTGTATTTTAGGCGTAACTTGCATCACACATCAAACAACATATTCACTAAAAAAGATAAGAATATTTCTAGTTTTCTTATTAAAAATAAAGTTAAATGAACTTCTCTCAGCTCTCTACTCTAGCCTAGGCCATGTATGTAGGCCTAGTCAAGAGTCTGAGAGAGCGTTTATCCGGCCCAGCCTAGGGGCCCTACTAGACTAGCTTAGCTAGTAAAAAAACACGACAGCAGAAGTTGCTAGCCAAGTTGCGCATTTCCTGCAGACGACGACAGACCCCACGGCACTAGCCTAGGCTTTATTCCTAGTGATAATAGATGGGTGAGGTGAGGGCCTATCGTATGTCTGTGGGACCGGAACACGCACGCACGGCCTTTTTTTAATCAATACATATTTATTCAACATATATTTTAATTTCAAATGGTTGTTTTTCCATCGTTTTTCCCTTGAAAATCTCAGGATTTCTTGCAAATATGTTTACTGGTACAACAAAAACATACTTTTTTTTAAATATAAATTTGATTGCATTATGACTTTTTATATGTGTCCCTACCATTGATTTACTTGTGAACATCGGTAAATTAGGGGCAGTTTGCAAAAAAAAAAATAAAAAAA